CAGGTTTAAGCCACCGCCCCTAGCTGGGCCCCTTTTATAAGGAAGGGCACTCATCCCATTCACGGGGGCTCCACCCTTGTGAACTCATGATCCCCCAAAGGTCCCACCTCCTAACGCCATGGCATCTGGGTCGGGGATTTCGACAGACCATGGCTTGTCCTAACCCATCACGGGACTAGCGAGCACAGCGTCTGTTCCGGTGCCTGCTCCCTGGACTCCAAAATCCTCAGGGTCGATATGTATCTTTATGTTTCTCCACACCCCTGATGCCCAGCCGAGAACCTAGAACCGAGGAACTGGTGAGAAAGAAGGATGCAGAGGGACAGACGAAGAAGCGGACCGAGGAAGGAGTAGACGTCCAGCCTCCTGACTCTCCTGTCCTCTGTCCCCAGCACAGTAGAACGCGCTTCAGCCTTCGGATCCGCACCAGGAAGGGGGGTGGGGGCTTTCTTTGTTGATCACTCAGCATGCAGACGGCAAAACTAAGGGCACCTCCCAGCTCAGAAAGAGATGGCAAATTCTCCCCCACACAGTCTGTGTTCACAAAAGAACTGCACACCTGGAGACCAGATGCTGGAAAGTAAAATTTTATTTATTTATATATTTTTTCGAGCTGAAATCTTTCTCTGTCGCCTACGCTGGAGTGAAGTGGCACGATCACGGCTCACCGCAGCCTCGACCTCCTGGACTGAGGCAATCCTCAGCCTCCCGAGTAGCTGAGACTACAGGTGTGCCAGCTATCGTTTTGTTTGTTTTAAGAGTATGAGGTCTCACTATGCTGCCCAGGCTGGTCTCAGACTCTTGGGCTAAGCAATCCTCTCGCCTCAGCCTCCCAAAGTGCTGGGATTACAGGCGTGAACCACTGTGCTCGGTCAGGGAAGTGAAATTTTAAAAAAAAACTAAGCAAAGAAGTGTGTGTGTGTGTGTGTGTGTGTGAGAGAGAGAGAGAGAGAGAGAGAGAGAGAGAGAGAGAGATTGATTTATCATGAGTCTTTCTTCCTTTATTTGTGGTTTGGAGACTAGGCTTCTAGCAGGCACCCTGTTCAGATTGGACCAGCTTAACTCATATCTGCATTTGATTTGCCAGAGATCATAAGACTTCCAAGCCAATAGAGCTAGGGCCTTGCTGTCAACACCACATGATGCCAACGTGGAGAAAAAAGAAAAGGGAGAGAGAGACCCCAGGGTCTGGAAGTATTTTCTTGCCTTGCAGGGGCGGAGCACCACGCCAGCCTGCAGGGCCTTTGCGGTCTGCCTAGCTCTCCCGATAGCACAGCTGCTCTCAAGATGGGCGAGCCCGAGCTTTGTTCTTGCGCCAAAGTTAGGCTCCCTTTCGTGAATAAAGGGACTTAGAAGGAAAGGGTGAGAAAGAAGAGAAAGCAGGAGCAGTGGTTCTGACAAAGCGTGTCTATGGCACCAGAAAAGCCGGGACCCAACGCGCCCCTCAGGAGACCACAGGGAGCCCAGACCCAGCAGGCAGGACTCTCCTCCCTCCCTCACCTGCCCACAAGACCCACCTGCAAAAGGTGGGCAGTGCCCCCCACCGAGGCTGGGCATGGCGGGTGCAGTGTGCCTTTTCACTGGTCCCTCGGCTACGCTGCTCCCTCCAAAGGGGAGGGTTTGAAGCCGGGCACTGTCCAGAGCCATGTCTAGAAGGCCCATCATCACCTAGGGAGTGAGCTGCCCAGAGCAGCGAGGCACATCAGCAAAAGGCAGTTCATCCAGCCCTTTCCAGGAGGACGGTGGGCTCTGTGAGGCAGAGAGCACGACCCAGGGCCCCGAACCCTCGTTCATCTAAGAGGAGTTAACACCTGCCGTGGAACACAAGCTCTTATCACCAAAACCACAGCCTCCTGGCCAACAGGAAGTTGAGAGGCATTTTTAAAGCAGAATCGGTTTACGATGGTCACACAGATCTCTTCTTTTTAATTTTTATTTTTTAACTTCTTGTAGAGACTGGAGTCTTGCTGTATTGCCCAGGCTGATCTTGAATTCCTGGCCTCAAGCGATCCTCCTGCCTCTGCTTCTTCCTTTTTTTTTTTTTTGAGTTGGAGTCTCACTCAGTCGCCCAGACTGGAGTGCAGTGGCCGCTCCCAGCCACCGCAGCCTCGACCTGCTGGGCTCTGGCGATCCTTCCGCCTCAGCCTTCCAAGTAGCTGGAACTACAGGCGCGCGCTACCACGCCCGGCTGATTTTTGATTTATGTAGAGATGAGGTCTCGCCAAGTTGCTCAGGCGGGTCTTGAACCCGTGGGCTCAGGCAATCCACTCACCTCAGCCTCCCAAAGGCGCGGGATTACAGGCTGAGCCACCGAGCCCGACTTTTTTTTTTTTTTTTT